GACCGCTCGCGCAGCCGGTTAAGTAGATTTAGATGGCGCCGTCACACAGCAGCTTCGTGAAGCTTGTGTTTGTTGGTAGACGTCTCATCTTGCTGTGAAGCACCGTGTAATTGTTGCGCAACAGTGTAGTAAGATAGAATGGAAAATATCAGGTGGCTGAACCGCGAATAAACAGCCCGGTTTCTATTTCCATACTTAGCTCGTGAAAATGTTTATGTATTCTCGAATTTCATGAGCTGTATCTTCAAGGCGTTTTTCTGCGCTTGCGGATGCATCCATCAAATATGCTGAGCTCTTTCGCATTGTTATCAAACGACGGCTTATGTTCGTTTATAGACGCTGGATAATGATGTCGTTGCTAACACTTTCAGCGAATAACCGAATATCCTCATTTTTCATCGATCATTAACTGTGAACACATATTATGTTATCGTTATTTTGGAAAAAGTAATTTATATAGCGAGTAGGTATGCCCTACATATATGCCTACTTGTGTTGTACATGTTATGCCTAGAGTTGTGTATCATTTTTCATGCGCAGAAAGTCCTTTTCACTTGCCTTACCTCTTGTTCCTTTTTACTCCAAACTGGGATCCCGCTTCAGCGAATTGTTCAGGCGCTGATTTCAATGCTTGATGATATGTAGGAAAAAAGTAAAAGAGGTTCAGTGTTCTTGAGCGTGGTACGGAATTATAATATCCATATAAAATTTTAGCGAGACTGATTTGCCCTTCTTCTGCGGAAGTTTGTTTCTTCCTTGAAACTGTATGCTGGTGCTACTATGGATGGTGCTTCAGCGGTGTTGCATACTGTGATAGTGGCTGCTGTGATGGCGAGCACGGCGGTGGCTGGATCGGGACGTGGTAGATCTCCACAAAGGATGCGGGTGCTGTCTTTATTATGCATACGCTGCATCATCGGTAGATGCAAGCTCTTCTGTATGCACTGCACCTCCCGTTCCATCTCCCACCCACTTCGGGTCCCAGTCACAGGTGCCTGTTAAGGATCCCTTGGGTATTCAATCCTTTGCGCCCCATGAACAAGAATGCAAAAATTGACCGAAGGAACTAACTTTCAAAACTGTTACTCCTGAAACCAAAACGGGCGTTTCGTCGCTATAGATTGTCGCTCTGGAAAGGTCGAGTAAATCAATTGCTTACTAACGGCTATACTTATCTCTAACGATGTCCTTTCTTCTGAGGTGGAACCAAGTTGTTTTGACATTCTCTGAAATAATTGCATGAATACTTATCTGATTACTGAAGTGATTCAGCAAGACGCAATAAGGTGCGAAAAGGATCTGAAAGAATGAATTCAGCACGCCCGCGAACGTTGCAAAATGACATCATGCAGTGTGGCTACTTCGACATGCTGGTCCCGAAGTGATGCAATTGTTTGTTCACCATACTATCGCATTATGACTATTTTAACCCGCTGAACTTGAAGGGAATTATGATAGTCTCAGGAGACACAGTAATGAAACTAAATCAACTCATTACTGAGAATACTGAGCAGGCGTTAGAGCAAGGCTT